CAAGCTGTGACTTGTTTGGGCTGATGAAGGTCTTTTCCCACCTGGGACACGTGTTTCCCTGGCAGAGGAGGCTGTGAATCAGTGTCGCCCCGAAACGCCAATGAGCTCCCCGGTTTCCGTGGGTGTCCCCGCCGCCCCGCTGCTGGGATCGTAATGGGATTTTCACAGCCGGGGAAGGCAGGGCCCCGCTCCCGCAGTCCCTCCTTCCTTCCTGCAAGAAAAGGCGTTTGTGAATGATTCCACATGACAGCAGCGTGGGCCTGGCTGGGGGTCCAGGAATTGTTTTCACACTAATTTCTTACTTGCGAAGGCCCCTCCTCCCCCGGTCGCCCCTCCCCCAGTCGGGCGAGTTGGAAAGACAGACAGACAATGAGATCTCCCTGTGTCTCTTCTGTTTTTCAGGCATCAATAAATTCACTAAGAAGTTCCGAAATCCCTATGCCATTGACAATAACGAGCTACTAGACTTCCTCTCCAGGGTACCGTCTGATGTTCAAAAGGTACGTAATGAACAACAGAGCCCGAGGCTGTGCCAGTGTGTGAGTAATTGCGATCACGCTTCGGAAACATCCTTACAGAGGCCTGGCTTGCAGGGAGGCGGCCAGGAAACCTTTGTCCCAAAAGCATGAGATGATTGGGGGAAATTATCCTGAAAAAGAGCGACTTAAGAACGGTCAGGAACTCACGCTGGGCCGCTCAGATGCGGGGGTCTCGGTCCCTATTGGGATCGCTCGCCGCCCCCAGAGAGGATATAAGATGGGCTCAGTGCATGGGCGAGTGGGAGGTCTGGAAAGGGGTGGCCAGCGTTTTATGGGGAGTAGGGGAGAGGAGGATTATTCTCTCTATTCTTGTTGGCTCTGATGATCCCCTAGGCCCCCCTGGTAGCTCGTCCCCTCTAAAGATTTAGGGCGGCTTAGGGCAAAAGCCCAGACTTACTCGAATGCACGTAGAGGCAGAGACGACATGAGATGATTTGAGATCAATCAGAAGTATTATCCACAGGCAATGGTCACTTAGTCCAGCGGCGTCCTGTTTCTGTGGAGACACAGAGATTAGCTAAGGGAACAATACCAGTGAGTCCCCTCCAGTGGCCCCATCTGGGCCCCCACCGATCAGGCTGCTGTAAGCCCAGGGGGCAGGCAGCTGTCTCTGTAATGGAGAATTAGGGATCAGAGAACCGGTAGACGGGAGGCCGTGGCATGAAATGGCATCACGGTGACCAGAGACACAGTGTGTTAGCATCTGAGAGCAGGTATCGATTTTCGTCTTCGGGGCCACTGTGACATGATGGAGCTCGGGAACGCTGGGTGGCTTCCAGGATGTAGGGCTGGGAAGCCCTAGCATTTCTTTCCCCTTCATTCCAAATTCTAGAGATTCACACAGAATCCGTGATGCTATATCCCTTTAACGTTCATTTTGATATAGTTCTCTATTAAAATGTATTCTACAGCCCAGCTGGGTGGGGCTCAGTGGTTGAGCATCAACCCGGGAACCGAAAGGTCACTGGTTCAATTCCTGGTCAGGGAACATGCCCAGGTTGTGGGTTTGATTCCCAGTCCCGGACGTGCAGGAGGCAGTTGGTCAATGATTCTATCATTGATGTTTCTATCTCTCCCTCTCTCTTCCCCTCTGAAATCAGTCAACATATATTTTTTTAAAAATGTATTCTACAAAATATGAATTTACTCGTTGACATTTGCATTGCACGATTATAAAATAGTCACCTGGGCCCTAACCAGTTTGGCTCAGTGGATAGAGCGTCGGCCTGCGGACTGAAGGGTCCCAGGTTCGATTCTGGTCAAGGGTTGTGTGCACATCCCCAGTAGGGGGTGTGCATGAGGCAGCTGATCGATGTCTCTCTCTCATCGATGTTTCTAACTCTCTATCCCTCTCCCTTCCTCTCTGTAAAAAATCAATTAAAAATTGTAAAAAAATGTCACCTAGCCCTTGCTTGTTCTGCACTGAAGACTGACAGGTATGTCCCCTCCTGTCCCCCAGGGCACCTTCACAAAGCACTGTGAGGAAATCGAGCTTTACTGGTAGTTCATGCATCTGCTCTTGACCTTCTGTAGTGGTCAAGACCTACAGTGATGGGTTCTGCTGCCCTTGGAGAATTTGGCACAAATGCTCCAGGTGATGAGCACAGGTAGTCTGCCCTGCAGTCCTTTACATAAAGCCATCCCGCCATCAGCCTGTGCAAGCTCACACACGAAAGCAGCAAGGTTGCAGCGAACGGGCACTTGAGTGGCAATGGGAGGGCTGGCCCGCATCCTTGGAGCATGCCAGTTGCCATCGAGCCTGGTCAGGGGTTGTCTGCACACACAGCTGCCCTTGAGCCATCATCCAGTTGGTGTCCGCAGGAACACAACAAAAGAGCGTCCCAGGAAGGTACAGTTCGCCAGTGAGATCCTCCATGTATCGCCAAGAGCACTTTCTTAACACAATAGACAGTTTGCCACGAAGGACTCACCCCCTCACCCCCGTTCATAGTTATCACAGATGTTTTAGCCATTCCATTGGAAATGAAATTCATTTTTAAGAGAAATCTATAGAAGTCTGGGGCCAGTATCAATTTCAACATTATTTCCCTCCCTGGCAAAATAAATGGTATATCATTTGCAGATATTTCACCCCCCCACACCCCAAGATTTTAGATCTTTTTAAATGAATAACTTGTAGTAAGTATCATATACTAAGACAAACATTCCCAAGGGGCTGTTATGAAGCTTGCTTATGGTGCAGAAGGGTCCCTCGCGCACACACCACTGAAATCCCCCAGCAGTGCCCAGGGCAGGTAGAAGAACCCCACGCATCTCATTAGAAAAAAAAAAGAAAAAATCTGCTTTTAATATTTTGGTTTCCAGAAATGATGCATGACTCCTCAAATCCTTCCTGTAATTAATCCCCCCATGTTCCTGTGTTTAGAAAATGATTCATTACCTTTGAACCTTCCTTCCTTTGCCTCGGCCTGTCCCCGGGGGAGCCATTAGCACACGGTGCGGGGAGCTAGGGTTACCGAACCGCCAGCGTCACGTCTGTTTGTTTTCACAGGTGCAGTACGCGGAGCTGAGGCCCTGCAGCAGCCAGAGCCCCCTTCGCAAGAAGCGCAGTGGGCTCTAGGACTCACGCCGCCCGTGGCCGCCAGCACCCCGTTCTGGGTTTGGGCGATGGGGCCCAGGGTATGGCTCTCTCGGTGGCACCGCGGTCAGTGACGTTCGGACACACGTGTTGTGCGGTGCCCTGTCTGTCGTCTCCCCCCTTCTTCAAGCGCACAGATGCACACATGCACACGGGGACGTGCACATGCGTGGATGTCCTAGCGACACAGCCGGCCAGCCCAGCAGGAGGAGGCGATCTGGAGACTGAAAGACTCACATCCCTTCTCCTAGAGGAGAGAAAGCAAGGCTGCCGTGGGGCTGAACAGCCAGGAGACCCCTCGCATTCGAGAGGGACTTTGAACTTGTGCTCACACCTCCAGCGGCCGGTTCCCATGAGGATTCCCTCATTTTCGCTCCCACCCCCACACTCTTTTCCATGATGGTTCCTGTGAGTCCGTTGTTGTTGGTTTTTTCCCCTTTGAGCTAACAAGTCTTTGATAGATACCATCTACCCAAGGAACGCACCTTATCAACAGACTAGAGGCCCGATGCATGAAATTTGTGCAAGAGTAGGCCTTCCCAGCTGTGGCAGCTGCCGCGATCCCTCCCTCACAGCCAAGGCAGCTGCAGCCCCAGCTTGGTCCGGAAGGATATCCGGAAGGATGTCCAGTCTAATTAGCATATTATGCTTTTATTATAGATTTTTCAGTAATGATGTATATGTGCCCCGATCCTTGGGGAAGCGTTCAGCTGTGATTCCTGAAGATCTGTATGCCAAATCTCAGTCAAGTCCCCGGCGCTGGGAGCCATCCTGCATCAGGGCCCGTTGCTGGCAATGGGTCCCAGGAGGGTCGAAAGGGAACACTTGTCCCAAAAGTGAAGGGTTCCTGGAAGTATTTGGGTGTCTTAAAGCACCATTTCTTCCGATTGTACTTGTGCTTATTTCCAAACTAAAATGTCCACGTGACGGCTTCAGGAAAGGGGAGGGAATGAATGAAGGAAGGAAGGAAGGAATGAACTCAGAGTACTTAGGTCAAGGCCCGGGAACAAGGGATGAATACATGAGGCTGCTTACCCAAGGGCCATCATCACCTCATTTTGCTCGTATTTTTGAGCAGAAAGTGAAGATATTTTAGCAGCCCCAGCTGATCGTTTTTGTTCCTCGTAAGGGTACAATAAGTTACCCGAAATAAAAATATATCTCTCGGCCCTTTTCCTAGAAAAGTACCATTTCCTTCAAGAGTCCCCG